AGGTGCAAAAATCCGTAATCCGGGTAAAACCAAAATTTACCCAGATTAAGGATAGAAACGGGGCAACCCGGGAACATCATAATAATTGAACATTTAGAGCAATAAGTTGGTCAAAAAGTCCTTCTTTGACAAACGTTTTCAATACTAAATTACAGTAATTATCTTATAGTCTTCGAGATCAACTTTGAGTATAAACAACAAAACATGTATAAATAATTAGAGATTTTAAATTAACTTACACTCAATCCTTGTTGTAATCCAAGAAATCAGGTGTTGGGCTGATCCTACATTTGTATCTCCTGTGAGTACACTCACAGCACCCAACCACAGGATTGAGAATTTCTGGGTATTCTAAAAATTTCAAACACAGTGGCGAACTTTTTAGAATACCCTTTTTGTTGGACAAAAAAATACTTGAAAGAATAACTTATCATAACCTGAAAAAACTCCAGCTACAAAAACTTTGTATTTGCATAAGATGAAGTACACAAACAGCCCGTAAAAAGGAAATTGTCTACAGAGCGGCAACAAAGGCGACAAACTTAGGGTCGAAACCTGTGAAGCTGAAATCAAAAATGTTTTCATAAAAATTTTCACATAACTTTTTTTCTACGACCCACCCAAACTGAAATTTAAAATCCCAAATGGATATACATTGCCCTCAAAACTACGCAAAAAAAATTGACTAACTTGAAATAACATAAATTGAAACAGTTTGAATATTTTAAAATAAATTCTAAATCAGCTACGGTAAATTTACAAGTTGGTGGAAATTCAGTTCTGGTAAAAACTATTTAAATTGGAACAAAACCCACTTTACAAAATTATAAATAAAAACCTCACTAGATAAAAATGCAATTTAAAAAAAAGAAGTTCGAATGATCGAAACTGGGGTCAAAACCAGGAACCCAAAAAAAATGAAATTTTTTTTAAAGATTATTACAACCTGAAACGGGCTTGAACTGATTACTAGCTAACTGATAAGTTTTTTTCTTTGAAGTTCATAAATCTCAAGAATTGAAGACCATCTAGAAGTTGTCCACATGAATTCACTTCTAGAATTGAAGTTGGATCTTCACTTCTAGAAGTCAAGATCCTGTGGTCAAAGTTGTTTACGGGAAAAAAGTCTAGTACCCGGTTGCAATAGTAGTAGTAGTAGTAGTAGTAGTAGTAGTAGTAAAAGACTTAAATTCACAGTTAAAGAAGTACAATAGATGCTAAGTGGAACGTATAGATCGATGAACCTAACAATACAGAACAAAATACTAGCAAACTATGATCGGCAATTTAAACAAAAACATTTGATACAGAAAGTACACGAGTTGTTTAGGTTGAAAGAAGCTCGTTTTTGAGCCAGATACGTTTTAAGGTCTCTTGAGAAAATGGGTAGGGTAGATTCAAAGTTTAAGATTTTCAGTTTTATAAGTTCGTTTGCAGTATGACAGCTCTGATGAAGAAGTTGTTGTTAGATTTGAATCGTCTTGAATGTTTAAATGCAAACTGATTTGTAATAGCAGAACGAGTAGAGTTTATGAACTTGATCAATTCCAATTCAACCGTGATGTCGACTTTTTTGTGCCAAATTTTATATAACAAAATGACATCAGTACGAATAAGTTCAAAGCAGATAGGAAGCATAATGTGCATCTGTAGGCATTTGTCATATTCATTTGAGTTTGACACCCATTAAGAACGCGTTTTTGAAAACTTTCAAGTCTGCGAAGGCTGTTTATTGAAAATGAATATGCAGTGGAGCTAAAAAGTAACACGGATAGAATTAATGATCGATAGAAAAAAGTTTACACTGCTGTTTAACTTGAAAAGGCACATTTCTCCGTAGAAAGTTAAAAGTTTTGTTGCTTTTGGCAAGTTTGAGGTCAATATGCAAATTCCAATTAAGTTTGTTGTTGATAATCAAGCCCAAATCTTTAATAACCTCAACAAATTCTAATGAAACGTTATCCATTGTAAAAGTGTATTGTGGATAGCCAAAACTCAAAGTCTTGGTTTTTGAAGGATGAAATGAAAGTCCATATAAATTTGCCCATTCAGAAAGTGTGTTAATATCACATTGAGTATTTTCAGGCGATGAACTTGAGTGTAGTTTTAAGTCATTGCAAAACATAAAATAAACACTATGAACAACTTCATCAGGAAGATCATCAATAAATAACAAAAAGAAGAAAGGACCCAGAACGCTACCCTGAGGGACACCAGAAGTAACATCTATAACAATGGATAGGGAGTTTTCTAACTTAACGCATTGACGTCTGTCAATAAGATACAATGTCAGCAGATTAATGCAATCAAAAACAAAGCCAAGCGTACATAGTTTTGTTAAGAGTAAATGATGGGGCACTGAATCAAATGACTTTTGTATGTCAAAATAGATAGATAAACATGGAAGGTTGTTATCAAGGTTAGCATAAATAAGATCCAAATAAATTATTATCTGCGATACAGTACTTCGAGATTTCATGAATCCATCTTGCTGTGGTTTATTGATCTTCATGGCTTTAGGATAAATGTAATCAAACAAGATGCGCTCAAAAATCACCGACAATTTTGGTAAAATACTGATTGGTCGATAGTTTGTGATATGACTTGATGATGCTAACTTGTAAAAGGGTGTAACATGTGATAGTTTCCTTTCAGATGGCCAGAAACAACTAGAAACGATTGAATTAAACAAAGTGCATATCGCTGGGGACAGAAAATTGGAGCAATGTTTCATGACAAAAGATGGTAACGCATCAGATCCCATTGAGCAGCTATCATCACAAGCTTCTAGACTAGACGTCTTTTGAACCAGTGTTTGTAATCAAAACATCTTCCAGGTGGAAGATTTCAGAGTAAGGAAACATAATATCAGTGATAATTTTCGGACCAAAGACTGATCCAAAAAACTCGTTAAACAATTGTGCCTTAGATTCGGGCGTTGTAGCAGTTTTCTCACCTAATTTCATGACAGAGGGATATGAAGAGCCTTGGCGTAAGGATCTAAGAGACTGAAAACAGTGGTTTGAGTCTTGAGTATGGAAACTTTCTACGTATATTAATTTATCAAGCTCAAAAGCGTCAGATAGATCAGTATTTAATCTCAGTTGTCTAAGGGATTAACTTAAATTTCTATAAGTTTTCTTTTATTTGAAGCTCGCATATTTATGAGATGCATTGTGTGAGATGAATAATAATGTGGCATTAGTAAACTTTTTTGACGTTTACGTTTGGAAGCGGATGAAAGAGCTGCGTGTACTAGAGAATACCAATAAGAAGGAAAGTTAGAGATCGCTTGGTTGCTGAATGAGTTATATAAATTGTTCAAGTTTGTATTAAACATTTTTTTGGATAAAATTGATTTGGAAATATTATCAATATTACTGACAGACTTGATGGACGATAAAATTTCAACTTCAAAGATAACAGGAAAGTGATCCGATAATCTAGTTTTTGGGTTACTGAAAGGAAGAGAATCAGCTGTCCCAAAAATTAGATCAAACAGTTCCCTTTCACGTGAGTTGGTTCATTCATGAACTGGTTTAGCCCAAAATCACTGATCTTATCTAAGAAAGCTCTTTCGAATGTCGTTGTTCCAGTATTTGTTTGCCAGTTGATTCCTGGTAAATTAAAATCACCCAAAAAGAAAACATCAAAATTTGCACCATAGTTGTGAGATGTAATGACTGTAAGCTGATAGGCATGCTGTAAGGCTACCAATCGACCCATGATAACGGGAATTAGAATCAAGATCCTAGATTACGAGGAAGAACAACATACTTGTGTTAGAGGAAACACCACATGCAAAAGAGAATGGAAAATCGGGAATAGAAAGGTCGCTAATAGTAAGGTTTTTGTTATCCGATATAATAAGAACGCCGCTGTGTTCACCATTATTACGGTCACATCTTGATGCAATTTGGAAGGAGGAGCTTTGGCAAATTTCGGAATTTACAATTTCGCTGGATAACCAAGTTTTGGTAAGAAAAGCAATGGAAATGTTGTTGAAAGTTAGTAGTTGAAAAAGAATTTGTCGTTTCTCGCGACTGCATATGGATTGGCAATTCAGAAGTATGCAATTTATATTATACTCAAGCATTTCATTTTAAGTTGACATTTTGACCTTATAAAATAACTGTAGTTGTTTAATTCGGAAGTCTTTTTTTCCTTGTTTTCCACATTTATCATCTCATATCTTTTGGCAAGAACTTTCTTTTCGATTTCCCTGTCCGAGCTCGAAAGAAAACTTTTAACGTACACAGGAATGCGAAAATCCTTCAAATGACTGCTTCTGGCGAAACAGCGATCCATGAAGTGAGCGTTATTCGTCGCAATCAATAATGGGCGACACGTGCGACGTTCATTATTGGCTGTTTGAGATTTCCCAAGTCTTCGAGCTGAAGTAATGTTATTTTCAGAATTTAGACCCATATACTGCATTATTTCCGCAATAATATTGGCATAAGATTTGACACGAGCATCGAAGGTATTACCCAACTCAGGCACACCGTTGATAACAAATTGGTTCACATTTTTTTGTATGTCGGCAGGTGGTGTCTTAGTATTGCCATTTCCATTAGTGAATACATCACGATAGGAAGGTAGATTGACACTGAATGCCTTTACTATATTTTTGTTTATTTGTCCAGGTAAGATTTTTCATTAATACGCGGTATTTCACATTCAAGAGTAGATAAAACTGTAGATTTAATGTTATTAATCAAATCGGTTGCCTTGTTAAAAATGGTACAAAACTTAGCTTCGTATTTGAAGATATCCACTTCTAGGCAGTTGTCAAAAATCCAAATGCAATTTTCGATTTTACCCATCCACGATACTTTGTCAGCTGACAGAGAAACACACGCTCCATGAAAACATTTTCCACATTTCTCCCACCCAATAGCTGATACATCATCGTGTTTCACTTTACTTTTGCAGTGGTCACATTTGCAAGTAGACGTTGATCCTGCAACAGAGATCAACGTCTAACTACCTAATTGCTGTGATAAACTTATTAAATAGTTTCAGATTGATGTCGAAGTGCAGCGAGCGAGCCGTGGCGCGCTCCTAATTCCGAATTACAATTGGACTGGTCGATCACACATCATTAGCGCGAAGCGGTCTTTAAGAGTGCCCGCGTGGCGCAGTGGTCTATCCCAACTGCGATCTGACCAGAACATCAACTGCTGTTGGGGCTCCTTCTCCAACTCCAGAACTGGAACTTACTGGGTGTAATACCCAACTGATTGATCCATAGCTACAGTGAGCAACGCCGTTATAAGAACCGTCTCAAATGGCAACAAGCAACCCCCCCCCCAGTCGCCTTTTGGAGAGCAACCTTATCCAACCGTCTCAGAGCTTCTGAATGCTCCCTGAGCAGTGCTTTTTGCCTTTGCTTCGATAACAAGCAAGAAAACGCTTGAATTTCTGTTGAGAGAAACCATTGCCCAGATGAACCTTTTTTTCGGGAAAAAAAGAGAAGAAATAAACGAGAGTATTGCTGAAATGAGACAAACAGTGGTTGATCTGAACAGAGCGTTTGTCGAGACAACACCTGGAGTCGAAACTAGCTGGAAATCAGACATCGTAGACGGAAATAAAGAATCAATGGGAGAACTTACTGTTGGGACGAGTGCACCGAACATCGCAGAATCAGCTGATAGCGCTCGTGCACGAGTGTCTCCGGCACAAGAAAGCAGACTAGCAGATGATAAAGCAGTGCGTATACGAGGCTTGCCTGAGCCCCGCGGGCTTATGAATGAAATGATGAAAATTGACAAAGAAGAGGATCAAAAATTGCTTGATCATATGGAAGATGAGGGAAAGATACTTGATTGGGAATTCCAGCTGAGGGAAGAACAAGAACAATGTTGGTTACCCTAGACTCTTCCTTCGCCAAGCGGATGGTTTTGGCATTTCTGGCCAAACTGAGAAGCTATGAAAAAAGATTTTTCTTTCGCCTGATCTTTCTGCTAAAGAAGTTGAACTCGAGCAAGCTGCTCTAAAGAAAAGAAAAGAGTTAATCCTGAATGGGGAAAGCAGGAATAATTAAAGAATCAGAAAGCTCAATTGGAAGTCAAGAGTGACGGGCAATGGGCTCTGGGACAATGACTAACGAGTAGTATCTCTCAAAAGTCATTCAAGGTGATGCTGATAAATGCAAGATCCCTCAAAAAACCCGGAGCTTCGACAAGTTTAGGTCTTGATCTGTACCAGAAGTCTGTAGCTATCTGTCTTGTGAGAGAAACTTGGTTGAACGAAAGTATCGTCTCAGCTTATGTGTGTATCCCAAAGTACACACTTGTTCGGAAAAACAGAAACACTGACAGTTCTGAAAAAAGTCACGGCGGAGGCGTAGCAGCATATGTGAGAATTTCAATTGAGCTTACGCTACTGGAGTACGAGAGTCAAGGCACCGAAATGCTATGGTTCTCAACAGTCCTGCAGCGGAAAAAAATTGTGTTTGGAGTTGCATACTACCTCCCATCCGTCAACAAAGTCGATCTCTATACAGAACAGATTCTTTCAGTGTACGATCAGCTTCTATCTGAAGACGTGGAGACAGTTATTACTCTGGCTGGTGATTTCAATGATTTTGACGTCAAGCTGATCACAGAGGCAACAGCTCTAGACAGTCTCTACCATGGCATGTTCCACAAAAACTCGCAATTAGATTTCATATTCACAACTTACCCAGCCTACTACATGTCGAATACACCTTTGATGTCTCTTTCTCAACAGACCACGCGGGTATAATTTGTGAACCAGCGACCAATTATAAACCGAACAAAAGATTTCGTTTTGTGAGAGACCAGCGGGCGCAAAAATCCAAGCTCTGAATCTAGCGATGGATATATTCGATTTTTCCGAGGTCTCGAAAATTGATGATCCCAATGAAGCAACCAGAGCACTGCTCGAAGCACTTAGTACCCTGCTCAACGAGAACTGCCCCGTGAAGAAAATCAAGATGATTGACAAAGACCCACCCCATGTGTCCCCAATGATCAAGCTGCTCCTCAAAAAGAAATCGAAGCTCTTGAAATCTAAGAAGTTCACTAATGCGGAGGAAATGAACTCTAAGATAAAGCATCTGATGTATCAGAATATTAAGGATCGTAAAGCAAACTCGGTCTCGGGGACATGGTGGAACCTAGTCAAATATTACACCGGTAAACAGCAAGCAAATTCTCCTGTCATTAATTTTTTCGCGATGAAACTAACAAGCACTTCGACTTGAAACAAACAAGTTTCGACCTCTCTAAATTATGAAGAGCTGCTTCCTTTGGATACTTCACCAATCACTCCTCCGGAACTTACGCTGCATCAAGTTTACTATTCACTGCTGAGAATGAAAAAGACTGCTACTGATCATGATGGCATACCTTACTACCTGCTGAAAGATAACGCACACAACTTAGCAGAACCTTCACTGAAGATATAGAACAACTGCATAAGGACATCAGTGTTCCCATCAATTTTCAAATTATCGAAAATCTGCCCGATACCGAAAATTGGTAAAATAACATTGCTGGACGATCTGAGGCCCGTAGCCATCACTCCCGTGCTCGCACGGCACTTTGAAAGACTTATTTTTGATAACTTCATTTTGAGAAAGTACTACTCATGGCTGCCACCGGACCAATACGGATTTAGAAAAAACTCTTCAACACAAGCCGTACTGATACGTTAACAACCCTTGCAAAGCTTTTGACGGAGTTAGTTGTGACTACGTTCGCCTTACTTCTTTAGACCTGAGCAAAGAATTTGATAGAGCTCCGCAAAAACTCATAATCAAGAAAGTATCTGAAATGCCTAGCATGGGTCCCTTCATTATCAATCTATTAACGAATTTTCTCACGGGAAGGCAACAAAATGTGGCAAAAGACAATGAAGGTTCACAAATGAGAACAACCAACAGTGGTGTGCCTCAAGGAACGGTGCTAGGGCCCCCATGCTTCAACGCTGCCTACAGTGATCGAGTAGTGGAAGCTGAGCGGTATGTTCCAGTCAAGTTCGCTGATGACAACAACCAATGCGTGGGAGGCAAAAAACAACTCAAGTGATGCCCAAGCAGTTATTCGACAAATATCTACATGGTGCAGTATAAACAACTTTGTTTTGAACACGTCGAAGTCGAAAGAAATTCAAGTCCTATTCTCTCGCTCAGCATCAGTGGCTGCCATTCCTGGTGTCAAAGTTGAAAAAGAATTGAAAAAACTTGGGCTACACATTGATAAAAGTTTCTCTTTTAAACCCCACATTGAAAAATTTGTCAAAAAGTTTTCAACGAATGTGTATTTGCTTTTGAGACTCAAACAGTTGGGGTACGACAAGAGTGAGCTGGATCTTTTATACGAAGCTTTGGTGAAACCACATATTTTTTACGGAGCGTCCGCTTGGGAGGCTCACCTGCCTATCTTCTGAATAAAATAGATGCAATACAGCGTAGAACGACACGAATGGAAATCATACAGACCTTCACTCCGGTCAAAAAGATAATTGCAGATTGTGATCGAAAACTTTATGAGCGAATAGTTTCTACACCATCTCGTCTTTTGAAAGATATCTTACCTCAGCGTACCTGTTACTCCGTTAAACTCCGTAACCGACTACCATGCATCTTTTGTGATGTTACTGGTCATTGAAAGACACTTTACGTCTTACTGTAGGTATGGGAACTCTAGGTTCGACAACAAGTGCTAAATGGTCTGTCTTCTTTATAGTCTTCATAGAGAAGCATTGCTTCACTTGTGCCTTCTGCGATACCATAAAGTAATCAAGCTGCGATCGCTTATGTGTGACACCCGTGAAAACTGAGTGTATCCCAAGAGAAGATTCTATTGCGTCAATTTCCCTTTTGTGTTCGGTGTCTCTGTTGTGAACTGTAAATTTGGATGTAGTAAGTTTGCAGCCCGTAGCACCTTTTCAGAATCACCCTTCACTGTTTTCAATATATCGTCAACGTAACGGAGAAATAAATTAGCTTGCTGCTCTGACTTATTTTTCTCTCTTATCTCGAAGCCTTTTCTACAGTACCAGACGGTTTCACTTAAATATCGATACTGATCATCTGATATATCACCGTATTTTATGTGATACCAGATCAATCAGCGTTCAAATTCTACACATGTTGACCTGATTGACCTTCTTATTGCACACGCGACATATTCCGTTAAGATCTTTTTCGATCCCTTAAGATCTTTTAAAATCCCTCGATAGTGCAGTTGTTTCGTACTGCTCAAGTCAAAGATTTTCTAAAATAACGGCAAGAGATGCCCCCATTGCCAAACGATCTTTCTGAACGTACCATGTTTCATTGCACTTGCAAAGAACTTGACTAACTGCCATGTTCAACAGTTTCTTCATCGTTTCCTAGCAATTGATGGTGGTTCGGCTTGCTCATACAGTTTTCTCAGAGCTATGTCTATTGCTTCTTTGAGTGGATCTTATGTATGCAAATTCTTCACATCTAGAGATATCAAATTTTCATTGGGCTCAAGACTAATGCTCTCTAAGACTTCTCTCACATCTAGTGAGTTGGTTTCGATGTTTGCGCCCTCATTTTTCTCGAAAAATTTTGCAAGAACTTTGTTCAAGTTGTAGTACGAGCTACCAGGCAATGAGAGGTCTTAATAGGGTATTCTCTTTATGCGCCTTTGCCAGCACATAAAGCCTGGCGGGCTGCGCACCAGTAGAACTCTTCCTTGTGTAGAGATTCTCACCTATTTCGTCTTTTTTCCTCATAGCCAACAACTCCTTATTGATGTCTCTTTCTACCTTCAAAATAGTTGCATCACTTTTTCTTTTACTTTCGCTCGATTGACTTGAATCTAATTTGTCAGACAACTTGTTCTCATAGGTGTCCTTCCTCATTACACGAAAACCCACGCCCTCATCATATGGTACCGCAACTATTCCATTACTCTTCAGATACTTTCGGGCCTTCTCAACGACCTTGTCAGATGGTGTTTGTTTCACCCTTTTAGCATAGGCTTTTGCCACAGCTTCAATCTCACAAAT